CGGGGGTGGGGGCGACGGAGGAGTCGCTTTCGGCGCCGCTCGTGCGCGCCAGTGGTGTATTTTCTGGTATTGCCTTCGCTTCGGTGCCGTACCATTCCCCGCCGCCCCTGCCGCCGAGGCCGCCGCCAGCTCCGCCGCCTGCGGGGCGTTTCCAGGGTCAACTGCGCGCCACTGGCAAGGCGTGTTCTTAGGCGCACATGATGCCACAAGAGCTGAGTCGACGTGCGAAATCTGACATTTTGACGTACTCTCTGGCAGTGGATCGCCCTGATTCCAAATGTATCTAATGTATGCACCTCTACACCCAACTTACATTGATACCTTCTAATTTTAGTATAAACTTTTTGGATATAAATCAAAGGAGAAAAATTGTAACAATTAAAAAAAGGCATTTATTATTTCTTGTAATTCCTAACATGAATGGTAAAGGGTTCCAGAAGAGACAGACCTAAAGAGAGTTTTCGTCAGCGAAATAAATGTAAGAACTTGTTGATATTTGCTAACATAGAACTAATGAAAACGGAGTATGTGAAATTTTCCATTTGATTGCAAATCGATAACGATCTAGTACGAAAGTTTGAAAAGGGAATCAATTACAAAAATAACATTAACATTTGTTGTTTTGTCTCGGCACTACAGATGACTTCATTCGACGTTTTTGTTGCCGAAGAAAAATGCAAGTAACGACCTTCGTTCGCACAATGACGAAGTACTTTGATAAAGTATACAATGCACCCTGCTTTCCTCTAGTACATTGCCTGGTGTATTTAAAATCCATTCATAATGTCTCGGAAACGATGATTAATTGAAAGAATACGTAAGAATTGTAGTTCCTGAAGCTAATTCGATCGAATATTTCAATAGCAGTCTTTTTCATACATTCGTATAGAAAAAAGACAACGCAGAAAGTTAAAAAATTGTCAATATTGAAATAATTTTTTGTCAATGTTGTGACCTTCATATCCCAAAAAATGTTAAATACGCTCGAATATTTAGGTATTTTGTAAGGTACTATTCGATAAATTAAGCTCTTTTTTTTAAATGTGGGTCTTTTAGTAAATATTGACAGAAAGTTTTAAGATTCAATCAAGACGTTTTATAGATTGTTGACCTAAGAACCTCCTGTTTAGTAATGTAAAATACACTTATGTATTATACCAATGAGTCACATTATTATTTTATAAATTCAAATCAAATTGGATAAATGTTACTTGTAAATGTAATCAACATCTGAAACTGTGCTGGCACTTTACTACTTCGGAAAATTCATCAATTATCATATTTGTGCTGCACAATTGACTTTTATATAATTTTTAAAAATTCTTTCAGGGAAAATCTAGAAGATTCGTTTTATAAAATTATCCATATCCTGTGTTTTATGGATGTGTTCATACGCTTTCATAAATAGATGCAAGTTCTATACTTGCATTTAGTATTGAATACACTTCAAAGAGTGTGTGTTCTTTTTTGTTCAATAGATTGGGTTTAGTGTTTCCAATTTATGGTCAAGCAATTTTGCAAAAGCTTTGAAATTATAATTGGTGTTCTGGAACATGGGATTTGATCACAGTTATATTATTGAAAATATTATCACAGTTTTTGAATTGAACTGTGACTAAATCCAATGTTTCGGAACATCCTTCAATTTACTTACATGATTGTGAATCTACAATAGTTAATTGATAATTTACTGATTAAAAAGATCGTGTTACAGTTAAAGTTTTCGTTCAAGCAGAGAGGGCTTTTAAACAAGGATGAGCTTTTAATAACGGAAATATTATTACTTGTTTTAGTAAGCTTTTTATTGTCAATCGCGTAATCGACTTGTAGCGATATATTTATTACATCCACATTATTAACTCTTCTAAGGAAAGAAAATATCTTTAGGCCCTTTTATACGGATCAGGTTTCGTGTAGAGAAATTGTAGAGAAACTTGAAGATTCCAAAACAGAAGTTAAAAAGCAAAAAAAATTGTGTTTCCACGACTTGCACGTTTTTTGTGCGATTTGATAATATACGCACGCATATATCATCTGTGTGTGTGCGTTCTGAGCTACTTTATTAATACGTTTTTAAGTATTTAAAAACATGGGGAGAAAAAATAGAAAGGCCGTCATTGTTGTCCCTAAATGAATGGTTGTGACTGGGAAGGATGTAGAGAGTACGAAGAAATGAATGAAGAAAGGCTTGGCTGCAGATGAAAGATTCAGTAACCTTAACATTTGCAAGATGAAGAGAAATAAACTCTCCAATAAACTCAATCCGTCACGCCAATACAAAAAATCCCACGAATCACACCTAACCTAACCACAAAATTGGAAAGGATGGACGATTTCCACCGTTAAAAAATGCCGTTAGTCAACGAGTCTGCCGCTGGAAGAGCTGAAGTCCAACTGTTTCCTGTATAAAAAATCGGACATGCTCAAACATTTTAATGCATAATTTGTGCAATCTGGACAGCACGCTTTCGTATGTCGAATGTGGACGAAAACTGTTCCGTGTAAGACGGCCTTTTAACAAATTCGTACTTAATGCATTCTAGTATTTCCGCATTTGAAATTATTTGAATAGCTAAAATAAAATAGTTAATTCAATTCAGTGGTTCTATTAGTACTACCTCTCTTCTTAAGTAATGCATCTAGTGCTTTGGAAATGGTCGATAAATTCCCGACTCGGGAAGCAGGGGAATTATTTGAGAGTTTCCGAAGCGTGAGTGATATTTAATAGGACTATTCCACGAATGAAATTATGTCTAACACGGTTCCAAAATACGTTAAATGTTGATAATTGAAAGCATGTTAAAATCAAAGAGGTTATGTTATAGAATTCACGAGATTTATTGCACATCATATCGATTGATCGATCGATCGATCGATACATGCCGTCTCCTGTGGTAGATGAGTGATAGCTTTTAATTGGCCAGTAGGGAGGGGCGGTAAGAAAAAGCGAATAGAATTATTTTTAGATACACCGTTCTGATTGGG